TTTTTGTTCAGTTTTTTTTTTTTTTTTTTTTTTTGGTTCTTTGTTTTTTTGCTTTTTTGTTTGGTGGGGTTTTTTTGTTATTTCCTTGTTTTTTACCTGTTTTTTATGTGGCTTTTTTGTTTTTGTTTAATTTTGTTCTGCTCTGGGTTTTCTTTTTTATTTTATTGCTGCCACTGGGTCATTTTTCTTTTTTTTTTATTTGAACTCAGTTTTATTTCCTTGTTTTTGTGGGACATTTTGGACTGTTCTTCACAGCTGCCCTTGGGATGTTTTCGCCACCTTCAAACAGTGGTTGGGGACACGGGAAATGCAACAATCCCGAGGTGTTACCCCACCAGCTGAGGGATTTGGCAGCTGAATTTTGCAATGTGGGCTCTGCACCCACAACTCCACACTTTGGGGACGATCTTGAACGGAAATATCGGGTCAAAGTGGTGATAAAATTCCCTGTGGAAGGAAAACTGCTCCTCCAGCTCGTTCCTGAAGGATGGGATGAGCCTGGCAGGGAGTCTGGGATTGGGTCACCCTGAGAGGTGTCAAAACAGAGCCTTGGTAATGAATGCAAACGAGCCTTGTGGTTAATGACTCAGCAGGGGAGGAAGAGCTTGTCATCATCTCCTTCACCCACAAGACTCTGGGCAAGACAGTGCAGACGTTGATTGTAGTGCTGAGATCCTCCAAAATTAATCTGAGATTAACTGGCTGAGAGCCTCCAAAATTAATCTTGACTTCAGTGGTTAGCCCAGAGAAATCTGCCCTTTGTCCAAAGCTGGGATGTTCCTCCTGCCACGAGCAAGGAGGATTTCAGGCTCCTCTTCCAATAGTTAGGATGTTGTTTGGCTTTGGATTGAATGAAATCCTCCCAAGTTTGGAGTCAGGCTGCTGCATGTCCTGGGTTTGCCTCAGAGAATTGAAGGTTTGTCTTGGTAGCAGCGAGCTCCGAGTTTTCAAACAAGTTGGAAGGTGTTTATGGGGAAGATCATATGATTCCCCACACCTGGGAGGCCAAAATTCCCTGTTGTTGTGGTTGGAGGAAAACTGGGAGAAAACTGAAGCTTCATCCATTCACTCCTGTTTGGTTTAAACCAGAGAACTGAATAACTGAAAGGAGATTTTGAGGATTTGTAGGGAGTAATGCAGAGGTTTTAATCTGGGATTTTGGGGTGTGTTGGCTCCAGTGGCTGCCACTTCCCTGGCATCATTTCTCTGGGTGCTGGAATATCCACCTGCGTGGTGGAAGTTGTTCTGAGCCGCCGTGTCGGGAGCTGGCGCTGCCAAAAAGAGACTTTTGAGCTCCTGGTCCAGCTCGTTTCCTGTCCCTAATGAGCTCTGAGCAGACTAACCCTGGACTCCTCCTCCTCCTCCCCCCCCAGGGAAAGCTGTCCTTTGCCAACGGCTTCGTTTTGGAGGGAACCTTCACCACCAAGTCGGGCCAAGGCCTGCAGACCCACGGCATCCTCAACACCTGCCACGAGCAGCTGGACGAGAGGGTCACCAAAACGTGAGCAAAGCCTGGATTCAGCCACTTCAACTCACAGGAGGGGGAAAAAAAAACCCCAGCTGCCTGTCCTCACAAATTCCATTTCCTCTCACAAAAGCCAGTTCAGTTTCCTGCTCTTTCCTCTTCCAAACATTTCCAGTCCATCATTCCCGCTGCAGAAACAGCTCCTGTTCGTTCCAGGCAGGAACAGCTGCTGGTGGTGGTTGCTCAACTCTTGTTGCTCAGCCTCTTCTGAAGGGTTTTCGGGTGAGGTGAATAGTCTGGGTTTAGGGACACCCACCAGGGGCCAAGACAGTCTGTGAGCAGCAAAGATTCAGATTATTGATGTTCCACACACCAGGAATTTTGATTCGCCCAAAGCACCTCATTGTCAGGACAAGAAGTTGAGTTGCTTTTATTGAATTCCCAGTTGGGCACTTCCATGTTCCTGCGCTCCTGCAGGATGCCATGGGATGGTTTGGGTTGGAAGGGACCTTAAAGATCATCCAGTGCCACCCCCTGCCATGGGCAGGGACACCTTCCACTAGCCCAGGTTGCTCCAACCTGGCCTTGGACAGTTCCAGGGATCCAGGAGCAGCCACAGCTTCTCTGGGAAATCCATCCCAGCCCCTCCCCACCCTCCCAGCCAGGAATTCCTTCCCAATATCCCACCTAAATCTCTCCTCTTTCAGTTAAAGCCATTCCCTGTGTCCTGTCCCTCCATCCCTTGTCCCCAGTCCCTCTCCAGCTCTCCTGGAGCCCCTTTAGGCCCTGCCAGGGGCTCTCAGGTCTCCCTGGATCCTTCTCTTCTCCAGGGGAACCCCCCCAGCATTCCCAGCCTGGCTCCAGAGCAGAGGGGCCACATCCTTCTGTAAATCCCAACCCTGGAGAACCTCCCATATTTGAAAGTGAGGTCTGGAGTAACTAAAAGGGTGACCCAGAAAATCCTAATGGCAAATGTTCCATTTTCCAGTCAGCTGGGCCTCAGGGAGTTCCCAGTGGAGAAGAGGTGGAAGGGAATCTATGACCAGTTCCTGGAATTCCTCCAGTCTGGCTGCAAGGAAGACATGGAGGAGTCTTTCACAGGGTTCCACATCCAAACCAGCAAGGAGCTGAGGAAATCTCAGGAATATCTCTTCTGCCAAAGGTAGGAATGTTCCGGGGCCTCATTGCCACAGAGGAATCCATTTAAATCAGAGTCTGATTTAATTCATGTTTCAAATTTATGAACTTGAATTTAAATTTATGAACTTAAATTTATGAACTTGAATTTAAATTTATGAACTTAAATGTATGAATTTGAGAATTTTCCAGTTGTTCCTTTTGATGAGGCAGGAGGAGGAGTTTTATTCCTCCATTTAAAGTTGTGCTGTTGAGATCGATTCTTACAAGTGAAAAAATTCATTCCTTCTCTAATTGTCTTAATGCCCCTTTGGAATCTACCTGTGATACCCACCTGGATTTATCCCAGAGCTTCCTTGTGGGGGGCCTTTTCCTCCCTCACCTCTCATCCTTTCAGGGGGACTGAGGACATAGCCTGGAAGATTGAAGATATTCTTGAAGAGCTTGTGCAGCACCAGGAGCTGGAGTCGATACAGAGTTATTTAGAGAAGGTAAAGCTTAGGATGAGATCCACTCTGGCCACCAGGCATGGACACAGGGCCAGGCAGATTGCTGGTGATTTAACAGCACATAAACCACGGCCAGAGGCTCCAAGAACATCCCTGAACTGCGTGAAGAGCAGGGTTGTCCCTCAGGCTTCTTGGACACTCCTCTTGTGCAGGGCTGCAGAGGTCGGGGGGGCGATCAGAAAGCTTCTCTCTTGCTTCTCCAGCTGCTGGGAGGGATGAATGAACTCCCAGGTGGTTTTTCCTGGCCCAGCCTTTCCCTGGGGAAGCCTTTTGGTTGGCAGGAGGGGGGCTGGGGGGGCCTTTGGATGTTTTCCCCCCACGAGTGGCAGTGCTGGCAACTGGAATTCCACGTTCCTCCCCCGTGCAGGCACTGAAGTCCTCCCTGCACCCTCTGGGGAAGCTGCTGAAGGCCCTGACAGTGGCTTTCCAGGCCACATATTCCGGGATTGGGGCCAACAGGCACCTGCTGACGATGGCGCAGGAGGAAGTCAAGTACTACGCCAAGAAAATTTGGGAATTCTACCGGTAGGTCGAGCGGGTTGAGGCATTCCCATGGGTGTGGGCACAGAGGGCTTGGGGAGGAGAGCACTGGGATGGTGTTGGCAGGTGATGTGCTTGAATCACTGCACGTTTTTTTTTGGGGGGGGAGGTGCTTCAGGACGGTGTTAAATAAAGAGTTATTTGCAATAACTGAGGTCATGTGGACCTGGAAAAGCTTTATTAGGGTCATTTTATGACCCAGGGGCTTTCATGTGAGTGAATCTCACTGAGTTGTGGCAGATCAAGGAGCTGCTGCCCATAATAACACTTTCTTTAGGAAAATATGAAGCAAAAATCCTCCCTGAGGACTGAGGGCAGCAAAGTATGTCAGAGCACACAGCAGGGCTGTGATAGCTGGGTTTGAAGGAGAAATAGAATCATGGAATGGTTAGGGGTGGAAGGGACCTTAAAAAAGATCCAGTCCCACCCCCTGCCATGGGCAGGGACACCTTCCACCAGCCCAGGGTGCTCCAAGCTGGCCTTGGACACTTCCAGGGATCCAGGGGCAGCCACAGCTTCTCTGGGCAACCTGTGCCAGGGCCTGCCCACCCTCCCAGCCAGCAATTCCTTCCCAATATCCCATCTAAACCTACTCCCTTTCAGTGGGAAGCCATTCCCTGTGTCCTGTCTCTCCATCCCTTGTAAACAGCCTCTCTCCATCTTCCCTGTAGCTCCTCCAGGTCCTGGAAGGCCACAGTCAGTTCCCCCCAAAATCTTCTCTTCTCCAGGCTGAGCAATCCCAGCTCTCCCAGCCTTTCCTGCTCCATCCCTTGGATCATCTTGGAGTGGATGAGTCCTCTGTCCTGTCTCCATCTGCTCCCTGTCCCCCAGTGCTGGAGGCAGCTCTGCAGGGGGGTCTCACCTGAGGGGGCAGAGGGGCAGAATCCCCCCCTTCCCAACTGTGGGATCATCCCAGGACACCTCTGTGGTTGTGCCCGGGGGTAATTAAGGCCTGGATCATAATTAAGGCCTGGATCAAAGGCATCCCTGGGATGCTGTTGCTCTTTGATTTGTCTTTTAGGAGCTACAAGAAGTGCCCCAGTAGGCAGAGCTGGGCCTGGGGCTGCACTCGGGGTGGAATCTCCTTAAAAACGAGAGGTTGGATTAAAGCTTTGGGTGTTCTCAGCGAGGTGGGGGGAGGGCTCTGAGCTGAGGGGTTGTCTGCTCCTGATTGAGTTCCCTGGGCTGATATTTCTCCACGGGAACAAAAGGCAACCTCTCCCTAATCCTCAGTTTAGGAGAATGAAGCTGGTTTGGGAATAAAGGCCAGAGAGATGATCAGAGAGGGGTGGAGCATCTCTCACCTCAAAGGCAGGGCGAGAGGAGCAGCCTGGAGAAGAGAAGGCTCCAGGGAAACCTCATTCCAAACTGAAAGAGGAGAGATTTAGGTGGGATAGTGGGAAGGAATTCCTGGCTGGGAGGGTGAGGAGGGACTGGAATGGATTTCCCAGAGAAGCTGTGGCTGCCCCTGGATCCCTGGAAGTGTCCAAGGCCAGGTTGGAGCAGCCTGGGCTGGTGGAAGGTGTCCCTGCCCACAGCAGGGGGTGGCACTGGATGATCCTTAAGGTCCCTCCCAACCCAAACCATGCTGGGATTCTGTGGAATATCAAGACAAAGCCCAGCTACTCTTCCCAAGGACCATCCTCTGATGTTCATGGATGGGTTGGAGAGTTGGTTGCTGAAGTCCCACGTCCCCTGAGTGGGAATTCAAGGAGATGGTGCTCAGTGCAGAGCACATTTAGGATTCCAGAGGGCCCACTCCACAGCACTGCAGGAATTCCAGGGAGCTTTAATATCCCACCTGGGGCTGGGACAGCTCAGCTCCACTTGGGAATAACCCAAATCATCCCTAATAACCAAATCATCCCTAAAAAAAAAAAGAGGAAGGGACTAAACCTCGTTCCTGCTGCTCTTTCAGGGGTTTGCTCCATCTGGCTCTGGAACAGAAAGGCCAACTGCCCCCAAAGTGTGTGGATGGAGACACAAGGTAGGTGCCACCACTGGGAGTTTCATTCCAGGCAGTTTGGACGTTTGGGGTGTCCTCTGAAACACCCCAAGTGCTGAGCTCCTCCTGTGGGTCACTTGGGGGCAGGTTTAGTGCCCACATTTCCCTCTGAGGGCAGTTCTGCTCAAAGCAACTTCTTTGACTCGTGTTCTGGAGCAGGAGGCACCGGCAGAGGAGGGAGAAGACATTTTCCCAGAACAAGAAAGCAGGAATAACAGTGGGAGACACAGATTTAGGGGGTTTGGGGAGCGGGAAGGGGAGAACAAGGAGGACACCTCGAGGTCCTGGAAGCTGCCTCTACCATCGTGTGCTGGGTGGTTTGGGGAATGTTTTAAGGTTGTAAAGTCACTGTAGGATTGGGTTTTCTCTGCCCCAGTGACCAGAAGGCCTCCAGTGTGGTCCTGCCCCTGATCCTGCCCTGCTTCTACCCCGAGCTCTTCATGCTCTACATGCTCTACCACGAGAGAGAAGATGACCTGTACTGCCAGGGCATCGTGGATCTCAGCCTGTTTCCTGACATCAAGCTCCTGGAATTTCTGGATGTGCAGAAGTAAGTGGCGTTTTCCCATCCCTGGATAAAGGCTGTGATCCTGGAAAGGACCTGGAGCCTGTTCCTGGTCCAGCTGTGGCGTTGAGGTTTTGTGCTGCCAGAGGAAATCCTGCCAGGAAGTGCCTGCCTGTCCTGGAGGGACAACACTGACTAGGGAAAAGCTGAAAATAGATGGGCTAATTCTAATTTTTGGGTGGAAAACCCCGTTATTACCTCAAAAAAAATGCTTTGTTCCATCTTGGACCAACAAATCAGAGCTTACAAAAGTGTCTTAGGAAGGGCAACAGTGTTATCTGCTCTGAGAGGGGAGACACACACAGACCCAAGAGAAGGGGGGTCAGGTGTTTCCTTCGTCCATTCCTGCTCCTAAATCCACCTTTGGAATGAGATGTGGGGCCAAACTCCCCCAGCTTTCCTAGCACAGCATCAGCTGCACCTCAGGGAGACCCTGGAGTGGATTCAGTCAGTGCTCAGTGGGAGGAGTGGAATCTGAAGGTTCCCAAACTCTCCACTGATTATCTCGGGAGCATCCCTGAGTAAAATCAACCCTTTGCATTAACGAGCCAAAGTAATTAACGGTAATTACCCCTGGAGCAGTGCAAGGAGAGCGGCAAGCTCAGCCTCCTGCACCTCCAGGGCTGGAGCAGCCCCTGGGATGAGGGGACAGAAGAATGGGGTGATTTAGGGTGGGCTCAGACCCTCTCAGCATCTCTGGGCTCTCCTTGCAGGCACCTCTGGCCTCTCAAGGACCTCACCCTGACCACCAACCAGGTGAGACCTCGCGGGGGATGCTCGTTAATAACCCTCACCTCATTAACTAACGAGGGGCAGGGAGTTTCCCTGGATGGGCTGGGGGTTGTGTGCCCGGAGCTGCTCCAAAGGATCCGTGTCTGCTTTCCAGAGGCGCTCCCTGATCAAGGACAAGTGTTTCCTGTCGGCCACCGAGTGTTTGCAGAAGCTCATGTGAGTCACCAGCACCCACCGGGCGCTGTCGGTTAATCAAAATGTATTATGTAGGTGGGGTGAGAGGTAGATGAGATGTAGATGAAATTTGGATAAAATGTAGATAAAATTCAGCTAAAGTTTCGGTAAAATTTAGCTAAGCTTTAGCTAAAATGTAGATGAAATATAGATGAAATTCAGCTAAAATTCAGATTAAATTTAGATTCGATTCAGTTACAATTTAGCTAAAATTCAGCTAAAATGTGGATAAAATTTAGATAAAATCCACCTAAAATTTAGCTAAAATTCAGCTAAAATTCAGCTAAAATTTAGCTAAAATTTAGCTAAAATTTAGCTAAAATGTAGATGAAATGTAGATAGAAGTTAGCTAAAATTCAGCTAAAATCAAACAAAATTTAGATAAAATTTAGTTAAAATTTAGACAAAATTTAGATAAAATGTAGCTAAAATTCAGCTAAAATCTAGATAAAATCAAGGTAAAATGTAGATAAAATGGGGCTAAAATTCAGCTAAAATTTAGCTAAAGTTTAGATAAAATCTAGGTAAAATCTGGGTAAAATTTAGATGACATTTATAATTTAATAAACCTTAAATTCCTACCTGCTCCCAAGGGGCTGATAGAGCAAAGCTGAGCTCAGTTTGATTTCTCAAAGCCCAGCCTGGGTGATGGTGCCCGGAAGGGAGCGGGGAATTGTTGTGGATCCATCAGGTGGGAGCTGTCAGATCCCTAAATCCTCCTGAGAGCCTCCCTAAGGAAGCCAGGGGGACTGTTTTTCTGGGATGTGCAGGGCAGACACATCAAATTCCCCCTTGGAGCTGTCCCTCTTGACTCCTCTTTGGTGAAGGTGATTGATGGATTTCGGTCTCCTGAGTTTTTTGGGGGCTTCCCTAAGTCCTGCTTGCCCTCTTGAGCTGTGGAGTGGGAGCACCTCTGGCAGGCAGGGCTGTTTTCCCACAGCACCACGGTGGATCCCAGGGAAAAGCTGGTGATCCTGCAGAAGACCTACGAGGAGATCGAGGGCACCGTGTCCAGGGTGGTGGGCAAGGACTACAAACTGCCCATGGATGACCTGCTGCCCCTCCTGATGTACGTCGTGTCCCGGGCCAAGTAAGTGGCAGCTTCCCCCGTTCCCGGCCCAGATTCTGTGGGATCCCTCAGGGAAAGGACTCCAGGCCAAAGGACTGAAATGAAAAACTGGGATTTGGGAATTTAATGTGCTTTTTCCTGAGCTTTTTGGGTTCCTGTGGGATGGGATCTGCCGGCTCTGCTGGGATGGGGTTGCCTGGGATATGAAGTGATTAGGGAATTTCTGAGTGTCCATTCTTTATCCCAGAGGATAATTCCAGGTTGTTGTGGGAAATGGGATCTTAATTTAAAAGTAAAACCTGAGATTTGGGGATTAAATGTGATTTTTCCTGAGCTTTTGGGTTTCTGTGTAACCCTAATCCAGCTCTGCTGGGATATGAAGTGATTAAGGAATTCCTGAGGGTCCATCTCTTATCCCAGAGGATAATTCAGGGTTATCCTGGGAAATGAAGCCTCATTTTACCACAGGATTTAGGGACATGGAGCTTCTGAAGGCCGATTTTTGATGCCTTGAAGGCATCAAAACGTTCCTCCCCACCCACTTGTCCTAACTGGGACCTTTTCTTTCCCTAGAATCCAGCACCTGGGAGCTGAAATCCATCTGATCAGAGACCTGATGGATCCCACCAACCAAGGAGGAATGTTTGACTTCCTGTTGACAGCCCTGGAGGTGAGGGAATGTTTCCATTGCAGCTTCCTCAGCCTGAACACCAAAGCTGGGCTGGGATTGAACTTTAGGGGCTCCTTCTGGGCCTGGAATAGGAGCTGATTTCCCTGAGAACCTGCAGAAAATCCTTATCCTTCATTTACAGCAGATTTAATCCTGAACTTGGGAGCAGCACAGCTTCTTTGGCTGCAACAGCCCTTATTTTGGTCCCAAAGCTGCCAAATTTTGGTCCCCCCAAGCTGCCAAATTGTGGTCCCCAAGCTGCCAAATTTTGGCCCCAAAGTTGTCAGATTTTGGCCCTAATGTTCTCCAATTTTGGCCCCAAAGCTGCCAAATTTTGGGCCCCATGCTGCCCAATTTTGACCCCAAAGCTGCCCAATTTTGGCCCCAAGATTCTCAACTTTTGGCCCCAAAGTTGCCAGATTTTGAACCCAACACTCTCAGATTTTTGTCCCCACAATTCCCAAAATCTGCCCCCGAGTTCTCAAATTTTGGCCCCTGAAGTTGCTAAGTTTTATCCCTAAATTCCCACCGTTTCTCCCCCGAGTTCCCAAGTTTTTTCCCCGAGTTCCCCCGTTCCTGCTGACCGTGTTGCTCTGCTCCTCCCCAGTCGTGCTACGAGCACATCCAGCGGCTGCGGCTGCAGCAGCGGGAGAGCTGCCCCCTGAGCGCCAGCGCCTGAGCCCGGGATCCACAGGGATCATCCTTCCTGGGATCCACAGGGATCATCTTCCTGGGATCCACAGGGATCATCCTTCCTGGGATCCACAGGGATCATCTTCCTGGGATCCATAGGGATCATCCTTCCTGGGATCCACAGGGATCATCTTCCTGGGATCCACAGGGATCATCTTCCTGGGATCCACAGGGATCATCCTTCCTGGGATCCACAGGGATCATCTTCCTGGGATCCATAGGGATCATCCTTCCTGCTGCACTGGCCAGAGCACACCCTGCTGGATGCACAATCCCTGCTGCTCCGGCTGTGGAATTACAACCTCGATCCTAAACCACACACAGGGGATGCTGATGGAGGAAACCCTTCGCTCTCCAACCTCAGCTGCTGTTTGGGAATCTCTTCCCGAGTGGAAAAGGTTTCTTTTGCCCCGTGGTTTTCGTTGGCTGGCCCTGCAAACAGCAGGGATTTGCTTTCCCTGCTCCCCTGGGAGTTGATCTGCACTGGTGAAAGGACTTTAGGACAGGAATTGGGGTTGGAGAGGTCACCCCCCACATTCCTGAAAAACCCATTCCTGGAGGGAAGAAGTGGTTTCTCCACCCCCTCTTCCTCCCTGTGGCAAACTCAGGACCTCTCCCTGGCCTTTTAAAGCTGCTATTCCCCGAATTCCGTGGTTTAGGAGACTAAAAGATGTGTTATTTCTGCTCTGCTCACTCCTGTGGAGCCTCAGGGAATGTCACACCTGCACCTTGGACATGCTCCTGCTGCTCTGGAATTCTGGGGGCTTGGAAGAAAGGAATGTTGGTCTGGGCTGAGAAATCCCAAATCCTGGCAAGAGAAAACATGGAAACACCTGGTTTTCCTGCTGCTTTTCCAAGGGGATTCGTGCTGACAGACCCCGCAGACACCAGTGGGGCACAAAAATCAGGCTGAGATTTATCCTTCCTTTGGAAAATCACCGGGATATTTGGGATTTTGTCCCTCCCAGACGAAACCAGCCAGGTGGGAGGTGCAGTTTGAGAGGTCTGACACAGATTTTAACCTGCTTTATTTTTTTCTTTTTTTTTCTTTTTTAAATTATTTTTTACTGTTTGACTTTTAATTAATCGTCCAGGTCACTAATTAATCATCCAGGCAAACACAACCCAACTCCACAGGCTCTTGGCTCCTGTTTCCCACATGGATTTATGCTTTAATAAATAACACAGTGATTACAAGAATGAATAGATTGGGATGGGAGTCTCCTCCTCCTGGCTGTTTTAACAGGAACTCTGTATTTAAATAAAGCTGTTGGGAAGTTTTCCAGAACCATTCCAGCCTCACCTGCTCCTCATTCCAACCCCTTTGCTTGTCTTGAAGCACTTGAGGGTTTTGCTCTGATGGATTTATTTTTAGGGAACACGTGGCTCCTTGATCATTCCTGGGAATGAAGGGATTTCAGGTGCAAAATCTGGATCAGTAAATCTCTTTTCTTTTTTTTTTTTTTTGTGCTTTTTTTTTCCTCCCCCGCTGAACCAGCGAGGAGAACGTGGATGGTGCCGGTGTCACAACATGCGGGGACACCAGGCCAAAAACATGCTTTTTCCTACCAAAAACACGGCACTGCCAGCTTGGAATTCTCATTCCCCCACCTGGAGGAAATGTCCCCTTTTGTTCATCCCAGGAGGGAAACTCCGGCTGAGCTTTGGAGAAGGAAGGAAACGGCTCCTAAGGAGCAGCTGGGGAAGTGGGAATTGCAGAGCTGGTGCTTTTCCAACCTCCTGCCAGCAGGTTGGGAGCACTGGGATGGTTTAATCCCCCAAAAATGCTGTTTTCTCCACATTTTTTTTTTTTCCATGCTCTAGGTGAGGATTTTTCATTCCAGGTACCACTTGCTAGTGGAAAAATGCAGATTTTTCTACTAGAAAAGGACATGCAAAAAGTGCATGCGAGTACAAACCCATGGAATTATCTAGAAAACAAGGGAATTCTCAGCCTGCTCCGGGTTTTCTGCTATTGCACTTCCTAAAATGCAGTTTGTAGCTGCTTTTCCTGGGGGAAGGGAGGTGGAAATTGAGGAAGTTCTTGAGCAAGAGTTCAAGTGAGCCCTGAAGTGGCAACTAAGGTAACAGTGTGCAGCCATTTGTGCTTCTCTGGGCTTTCCCACCCAGCAGGAAGAGCAAGAGGGAGGTTTCCCTGGGAATAGTTGGGCATTCCAGCTGGGAATTGTGCTGTGAAACCATGCAGAGGGCTGGTTGGAGCAGCTGAGAGGAGGCTCCTTCCCTGATCAAATCCCTGCTGTGCCTTGGAATTGTTGGGGGGGAATGTGGGAGTACATTCCAATTCCTCCTTTTCAGCTTGAGGGGGGGGGGGTCACATGCTTAATTAATAGTGCTCTAATTGCAGTCAGGGCTCCAGGGTCTTAATTACGGTGTTAAATTTAATCCTGGAGCAGTTTGAGGGCTGATTCCACCTGAGAATTCCAGCTTTGGGGGCTCTACACGAGTAGAGCCAGTGCCTTCCACATCCAGGCTCCAGCTCAGACTTCCATGGAAGCAAACTAGCTCAAATTCCCTAAAAATAAAAAAAAAAAAAAAGAAGGAAAAGTTAAGCTGAGCTGCACCTGGAAGTCTTCAAATCATGGAGCTGGGAGCAGAAAAAGCAGCGCTTTTTGCTCTTGGAAGCACAGGGAATTTGGTTATCCACAGGGAATTTCTGTCCCCCTTCCCTGACTGGGTATAAAATACTGACAAAAGGGTTGGGGTTTTCCTTTAGGGGGGATTGTTTTTTTTCCCCCCCTCCTCCAGTGGCTCCAAAATGAACGTCCTGCTGAAGGGAATAAAGCTCTTTGTACCTCAACTGCCCTGCAGGAGAACAGGGAGGAGGAACCTCCTCCAAAACCCTTTGGGAAAAGGTTCCTTTTCCCGAAGAACCGAGGGAATGGGGGAAATCAGAGCAGGGCTGTATCTATGGCAGCTTTCAGGTGGTGCAGCAAAGCCTCTGGAGGGGGGGAGAGGGAGGTCAGATCCAGCTTCTTGAAATCCTCGTTGGCGCTCAGGGACGTCAACACCTTCACCGTCCTCTTGAGGTCAAACACGGCGTGGAGCATTCCCAGGGTGGAAATGGCAGCTTTGGAAGTGTTCTGGGCCGAAGCCTCCTCATCCAGGCCCTTTTCCAAGACTGAAATCCTGTTCTCTGCGATGACCTTGAGGAAGTTGTAGAACTCCTTGTAGTCGATGCCCGTGCAGGACTTCATGATCAACTACAAAAAAACAGGGGATGGGGGGGGAGGAAAAACCGGGATTGAAATGGAAATAACGCTTAAAATTTACAGGGGAAAAAAGCACCAAATCAGGTTAGAATTACATGGAATCACAAATCATTATGTTTCGTGATTTTTTAGCAATTTGTGCTAAAAAATGCACCACTCAAAAAGCAACAGCCTGATTTTTAATAAGGACTAAATTGTTCTGTTTTCAAAGCAGTTCTGAAGGAAAACCACCCAGGAACAGCCTCCAGAAATTAACTCTCTACATTTGTTCCATGGCAAAGATTTTGGGAGGGAAGGAATTCTTTCCCAGCCAGAGCCAGGAGAGCCCCCAAGCTACAACCCTGCTCAGCAGAAATAGGGGCCCTTAAAGCATCACTTTGCAGACACAGAAACCCACTGAAACCTTCACCTAAATTGTCCTTGTTTCAGATTCACTGTTTTGTAAAATTCCAGGATGGTTTGGATTGGGAGGGACCTTAAGGATGATCCAGTGCCACCCCTGCCATGGGCAGGGACACCTTCCACTGTGCCAGGTTGCTCCAACCTGGCCTTGGACACTTCCAGGGATCCAGGAGCAGCCACAGCTTCTCTGGGAAACCTGTGCCAGTCCCTTCCCACTCTCCCAGTCAGGAATTCCTTCCCAATATCCCATCTCTCCCTGCCCTCTGGCAGTTTGAAGCCATTCCCTGTGTCCTGTCCCTCCATGCCTTGTCCCCAGTCCCTCTCCAGCTCTCCTGGAGCCCCTTTAGGCCCTGCCAGGGGCTCTCAGGTCTCCCTGGATCCTTCTCTTCTCCAGGGGAACCCCCCCAGCATTCCCAGCCTGGCTCCAGAGCAGGAATAGGAGAAGCTGAAGGAGAGCAGCTGAATCATTTGCTTTCCAAACAACATCCCAACCTGGCCATACCACACATCCTCCGGCACAAGCCATTCCCAAGCTTATCAAGGGAATATTTGCCTTCCTGCAAAATGCAGCCACCCCAGTCCCTAATTCTTTAGGATAAACACGTGAATTCCAGGTATAAGGTGAAGGAATTCTGTGTCTCAGAGTGCTAATAAGTAAATCCCTGGAATACCTGATCCTTTAACAGGGTCAGGTCCATGTTGTACCTGGCATTGGAGGTGCCAGTCATCCATAGGATCCTTCCACTGGTTGATCTCCCTCTGGACAGCTGCCAGCTCATCCTGCAGGAAGCACCACATGATGGCCACGTTGCAGCCGTTCACCCAGTTGTGGTTGATGGAGATGGTGTCCTCCTGAGGGAGCAATTCCAGGGGTTATCCCAAAGACCAATCTGTTGGCATTTTTTCATTCTTAAATTACAATTTCCAGTTCAAATCAAGGCTGAGAGAGCCTCCCCACAGGTCTGGCTCTCCTAAAATCTGATTCCTGAGCGACTGGAAGCATTTAATGACCAAAAAAAAAACCAGGAAAAGAGGATGCAGGTACCTTGTTTCACTTCATACTCCCCTAAATTCCAGTGGGCAGCGAGCCAAGGAGCTTTGGAATTCAGGTTTTCACCATCCAGAGAATCCCAGAATGGTTTGGGTGGGATCTTAAAGCTCATGTCCCACTATCCCAGGTTGATCATTAAGGTCCCTTCCACCCCAAACCTGTTCCTCCTAAAACATGGCTCCTGTTCAGCATGCCACGGAATATCCACACTGACAAAAGCCGTATCCCACAATCCTGGAGCAGTTTGGAAAGGACTTGAAGGATTATCCACTTCCAACCCCCTGCCACGGGCAGGGACACCTTCCCCTAGCCCAGGTTGCTCCAACCTGGCCTCGAACATTCCCAGGGATGGGGCATCCCCCCCCGCTCTCCAACCCAAGAATTCCTTCCCAAAAAATCCCCTTGGAGCGGGAGGGTCCCGGGGGGTCTCACCAGGTTGTAGACCTGGTGGTGCCACCCACTGGGGATGAAGACAATCTCTCCCGCCTCCTGCACGATCTCCAGGGGGGGCTGGCTCTGGCCGTAGCGAGGGTACACCCTCCTGTCCTGCAGGCTGGGGGCGGTCACGTCGAAGGGCAGGTTGCCGTGCCTGTCCTTGAGGAATTCCTCCTGCCCCGCCGGATACAGCAGCCACTTCTTCCTGCCGCAGATGTTGGCGGACCAGCTGTAGGAGCGGAACACGTCGGCGTGGAACGGTGTCCTGAGAGGGAGGGGGGAAACGCAGGGTTTGACTTCGGATTTAACGCTTCAGTTTAAGTGCTAAAAGTCCCCCTGAGGATCTGAGACGCTGATCCCTTTCCTTCCTGGAATTTTGGCTCTCAAATCCCTCCCGTTTGTGGGACATTCTGTGGGATGTTCACGTGCAGGAGATTCTGGGATGGGAACTGAAAACTGAAACTTTATAGCCGAGGCCTGGCTGGAGTTTTCACCTGCGGAACATCTGAGTCATCGCTGCCTCCACGAGGCTTCTGCTGACCCTGCAAAGCGCTCCTGGCTGATGATCCCAAGGGAATTTCTGCTCTAAATCCTTAAATAATCTGGTTGGGGAGGGGGGGGGGCACAGTTCAGGGCTTTTCCTGTAGCTGCTGCAGGAGTTCAGCTCCCGAACAGAAAGGATTCGGGTGGAACACCGGACTCTGCAGTGTGGCGATATCCCGAAGGATAATGGGATAATTCCCTGGAATATTAATCTTCCAAATGGGTGTATAAGGATGAGAGAGAGCCCACTTCCTTACCATGAGCCCTTGGGTCCCATGTAGACAAACCTATAATCATCCACAGCCACAGCATCCCAGTATTCGTTGAGCCAGTCGGAGGAGAAGTACACGGGGGTTGTGTAAACATCGTGCTCTGGGAAGGCCCTGGGAATGGGAAAGGGAAAGGCTTGGAAAGAAAACTTCTCCCTCAGTTTCCAAAATCCACACGCAAAGATAAAAAGCCATATCCTTTATCATGGAATCCCAGGATGGTTTGGGTTGGGAGGGACCTTAAAGCTCATCTTGTTCCCACCCCCTGCCATGGGCAGGGACACCTTCCACTGTCCCAGGATGCTCCAACCTGGCCTTGGACACTTCCAGGGATCCAGGGGCAGCCACAGCTTCTCTGGGAAATCCATTCCAGCTCTTCCCCACCCTCCCAGCCAAGAATTCCTTCCCAATCTCCCATCTATCCCTTCTCTCTAGGCAGTGGGAAGCCATTCCCCTGTTTCCTGTCCCTCCAGGCCGTTGTCCTAAGTCTCCCTCCACCTTTCCTGTAGCTCCTCCATGTCCTGGAAGGCCACAACCAGATGACCCCAGGAGCTTCCCTTCTGCGGGCTGGCCAATTCCAAGGATCCCCATTCCCTGAGGCTGGGGAGGTGGCACTGAGGGTTTCCAGGGCTCCCACCTGCTGACGTGCCAGTCCTTGAGGTAGAGGCAGCCGCGGGAGGAGCGGTATCCGTTGCGGATGTATTCCTGCCAGTAGCGCACGTACTCCCGGAAGGGCAGCTGCTCCTTGGGGTGGGAATTGTATTCCCTCACGTCACACTGGGCCACCGGCACCACGGCCTCTCCTGCAAAACACAGCCCCCCTCAGGGCAGGGAATGGGAATTCTGCACCCCACCCCCCCCCGAGACCTGTGACTGCAGATGTTCTGGGATAGCCCAGGGATCTGCAGGAACAACCCCCGGCCTGGGATCAGCATTCCAGGGAACCGGGACCCAAAGTGGGGTTTGTTTATTTATTTATTTACTGCAACCTGAATTTTCCAGGTGTTTATTGGATGTGACCCCATTTTTCCTGTTCCTTATTTCAAATGACCTGGATTTTCCTTTTAAACTCCACTGGAAGTGGGGTATTGATTACTATTAAATATATATATAGAGAGAGAGGTTTATATCTATATTTATATATAGGTATATGTATATAATATATAATATAATTTACTATATATATAAAACTTCTAATATAATATAATTGATAATTAAAATATATATTTATAGGCTTTGATATATTATCAAATATATATTATTATAAAATATATAATATATAACATATTATAATATAATTTTTATATTATATTTAGACATATCTATTATTACTTTAATATATTACATATATTGATCTATTATATAAAATATATAAAATATATATTAAAAATTTATAAATAATATATAAATATATATAACAGACACATTATCTAAATATATTAGCTAATATAAATATATAATTTAATATAAATACGTTGACTATAATAAAGATATTAACTAATAGAAATGTATAATTTAATATAAATATATTAACTATAATATAACTATAAATATATTAATTGACTTGTTAATAACTAACTAATGATTATTCTAACTGGCCGTTCTTTATAAAGGTTATTCCTATTATAGGATTAAATGTATTTTAGTTATTAAATACAATAAGTGTAAGATAACGAGAGAAAAAGTAACAATGTAATAAGGGAAATGAGAGAAAAAATATCAATATAAAAATATGATAAGTAGGGGGAAAGTATCAATCTAATAAGGAAAAAGAAGAGGAAATGTATCCATAAAATAAGGAATAAGTGGAGGGAAAATATGAATTAAATAAGGAAAAAGGAGAGGAAAAGTGGAGAAAAAAAAGAGAAAATAATAGAGGAAAACAGAAAAAAGTGGAGAAAAAAAGAACGAATAATAGAGAAAAGTGGAGAAAAGGTGGAGCACAAATAGAGAAAAATGGAGAAAAAACTGAAAAAAATTTGAAGAAATTTGGAGAGAAATAACAGAGAAAGAGAAAGGTGGAGAAAAGTAGAGAAAAAATGAAGAACAATAGAGAAAAATAAAGAAAAATTAGAAAAAAATGGAGAAAAATTGGAGAAAGACTACAAAAAAATAGAGAAAAATAGAGAAAAAATAGAGAAAAAATGGAGAAAAATAGAGAAAAAAAGAGAGAAAAATAGAGAAAAAATAGAGAAAAAAATGGAGAAAAATAGAAAAAATAACAGAGAAAAATAGAGAAAAGTGGAGAAAAAAATGAAGGTTTAGCCTGTGGTTCCATTCCCAGGAGGAGATGAAGCGGAAGGTGCACCCGACTCACCGAATTCCCGCAGCAGGTGCTCGAAGTTGGGCTTCCCATCCCGCGTGACCCAGTTCCTCCTGCTGCCCCAGTCCTCCGTCAGCTTGGCTGAGAAAACGCACGGGTGGTTGGGGATCAGATAATCCCGGAAAAAATCCGAGTAGGTGAAGGAATCGACTTTCTCGATGAAGTCAACGTGTCCCCCCGGCAGGCCCGGAGCAGCCTGGGATGAGGCGCTGGAGTCATGGAAAAAGGCAGTGGAACAGGCAAAGGTTGCCCTGTCCATGCAGGCTGGATGCAATTCCTGGCTTGGCCAAGGAAGGCTGGATGCAATTCCTGGCTTGGCCAAGACAGGCTGGATGCAATTCCTGGCTTAGCCAAGCCGGAGCCGAGCAGATTCCGTTCTCCCACGGCAAAAAAAAAAACAAACACCTGCTTAAAAATGGGATTGGAGTCTCTGAATCCGTGAAAACTCACGGGAAAGAAGAGGGGAAACGAGGAGTGGTGCAGGAGCATCCCAGCACGTTGGGATAATTGGGATCTTCCATAGTTTGTGGAGGTTAAATGGGGGTGGGACGGCCTCACAATGAGCAGCCTGTGGGTGGTGGAGGTGCTGCTCGTCCCTTGTCACCTCCTTGCCAGGGCTGGTTCCTTCCTGGAACAGGAAGAAACATTAAAATCAGTGGGATATCCCTGATAAATCCATTAACTGAAGGGATGGAGGGAGGGAAAACCCCCTAAATATCTGGGAAGTGATTGTAGTGGGATCATCCCTTTGTTGGAAGATACAAGCCCTGGCACCCCTCTCCTTCCCCAGACCACCTTCTCTGGATCTGGCAGCAACCGTGGCTTAAAAATAAGGGGAATAATAGGGAATAAGAGGAATAAAAAGGAGGGAAGGTGGGAAACTGAGCACAGAGGGGAAGGGAGGGCAAATAAACCACAGGGGATGCAGGGCTGGGATTTGGGAGACATCGAGGGTGAAGGTGGGGGGGGATAAAGGGGTTGCCATTCCCAGATAAACAGAATTCCCCCCTCACAAAGCTTCTAGGGGACACCTCAGTGGGATTAAGGGTTCTCCATGGTGGAATTCCAAGGGAAAACCCCGACACCACACGGGGATTAAAGAGCAGCCCTGAGGGCATTCCCCCTTGCAGGGCTCCAAGGGGACACTCCAAGGGATTAAGGGACCTCCGTGAGGGAATTCCAAGGGAACACCTGGACACCCCAGTGGGATGAAGGGAATTCCCCCCTCACGGAGCTTCCAGGGAGCACGACAGCAGGATTAAGGATTCTCCACGAGGGAACCGAATCCAAGGGAACACCGGGACACCACAGTGGGATTAAGGGACCTCCATGAAGGAATTCCAAGGGGACACCACAGCGGAATTAAGGGACCCCCACGAGGGAATTCCAAGGGGACACCACAGTGGGATTAAGGGACCCCCATGAGGGAATTCCAGGGGAACACCGGGACACCACAGTGCGATTAAAGGGCCTCCACGACGGAACTCTCCCCTCACGGAGCTCCAGGGGATTAAGGGACCTCCATGAGGGGATTCTCCCCCTCCCGGGACCTCCCAGCCGGGGGGTGGGTGGGAGGGGGGCACCCGGACACCACAGCGCGTCGCACACCCCATCCCCTCATCGCGCCGCCGCTCCAACCCGCCCCTCCGCTTCCCAGAGCCCACCCACAGAGGGAGCGACACTCACCCGCTACCCCCGCGGGACATTCCCGCCGTGGCGAGCGGGCGGGGAGGCGGGCAGGGCGATGGCGGGCGCGGCCGGAACCTCCGGAACCTCCGCGCGGGGCGGGCGGGCCCGGGGGGGGAGGTGAAAAGGGGAGCGCAGCGGCGCGGCGCGCAGGCGCAGAGCGGGGCCGGGGCCGAGCCCAGGGAGGTGCGAGAATTGGGG